GGGAGGTACTCAGAGTAGAGCTGCTGCTCCTCCACATTGAGAGGAGCCAGTGGATGTGGCTCGGGCATCTGGTTAGGATGCCTTCTGGACGCCTCCCTGGTGAGGTGTTCCAGGCACGTCCCCCTGGGAGGAGGCCCAGAGGAAGACGCTGGCCTGGGAACACCTTGGGATTCCCCCGGACCAGCTGGCCCATGTGGCTGGGGAGAGGGAAGTCTGGGTCTCTCTGCTTAGGCTGCTGCCCCAGCAACCCGATCCCAGATGAGTGGCAGAAAACAGACGGATGGACGGACGTTTGGCAATATGTTGTACTTTTAAATGCCAAGTGGGAGCAAAAAGTTTTGCCTGTGCCATAAGGGGATGGACGAAATGAAGCTGAGAAGAAAATAATGCATGCAGCTACACTATATTGCCAAAAGTATTTGTCCACCCATCCAAATGACCACGCACCAGTGCACAAAGCAAGGTCCATAAAGACATGGATTCTGGTGTGGGTGAACTTGACTGGCCTGCACAGAGTCCTGACCTCAACCTGATAGATGTTTGGGATGATATTGAGCGGAGACTGAGAGCCATGCCTTCTCATCCTACATCAGTATGTGACCTCACAAATGCTTCTGGAAGAATGGTCAAAAATCCCCATAAACACACTCCTAAACCATGTGGACAGCCTTCCAGAAGAGTTGAAGTTGTTCTAGCTGCAAAGGGTGGATCAACATCATATTGAACTCTGTGGATTAGGAATGGGATGTACCTTAAGCTCATATGTGAGTCAAGGCAAGTGAGCCAATACTTTTGTCAATATAGTGTATATCAAGCAGTAAATCACTGAATCATTTGTTTGCCAGTTGTTTGTTTTTAATTCCATCTTCAAAATGTTCATAAGTTGGTAGGCTGTTAACGGCAGTGTAGCAGTTAAAAAAAAGTAAAGACAAAAATAGTTGTCCTTTTTTTCTGAATCTTTATCCAATTGCAGCCTGGACGGCAGTGTTGCATGGTGGTGATATTTACATTACAATTCATGTGACTGCATTTTTTTAAATTCTTTCAGAGAGAGCATCTTTCTGCGCCTGTCAGTCAAAAAGTGTATTCTCAGCTGTGATGAGATTTTTTTACCTTTTTTTTTTTCAATTCAATGTTAAAGTATCACATTCAAAGTGAAATGAAAAAAAAGTCAATAAAAATTTAACTAATAAAACACTTTTTTTCTGGTCGAGGCCAGAGACCAGACTGTCCTAAGGAAAAACTCCTTGCAACACTGCATTTTCTTGATTCTTGTTTGCCTCCATGATGACAGCCAGCACACACAAACTCCTCGTTTCGTTAGGGCGGTCAGCACAACTTTGGCACCTGTAAATATTGTTGTGCATTCAGTCTTAATAAATATTACACAACACGCACCATTTAAGTTCAACATCYTTTTGAATGAAGCTGGAGAGTTTCAGGTTCTCTTTATTCCAGTCCAGGTGTTCTGCTGGATGGTGAAAGTTAAAAACAATCCCAAATTTGGTGGGTTAGTCTGCCAAGAGCATAACTTGATGGGAAAGCTAATTTCATGTGTTTTCCAGGAAGGAACTTATGGGTTGCCAGAAGGTTAAAGTGACCCTAGCACAAATGTTTTTCAATAAGTGTTTATGTGGAAGATTTGTACATTTTCTGGCAGTCAAGGCCAACAAGTACATGTACGCCACCATTCTGGCTCTGATCTGGCTTCATGGCTTCAAACTGGATGCTAAAGAGGAGTGGGAGCTTCTGGCTG